CCTCAATTAACCTTGCCTTGTATTCCGCGGTCCTTTTCTCTATTTCTGCTAGTTTGCGCCTCGCGTCCGTGACCCTTACTTTCTTAGACACAGCTCCCTCCGAGTTCCCGAGGCTCCCCCTATCCTTATTCCTGCCCTCCTTGTTTTCCTGGGTCCCCTGTCTGCTTCCCCCGGCTTTTCCCGAACTCTCTCCTGAGGACATTTCCTTCCGGTTCCCTTTGGTGCCATCCGGATTTGTTGATTCCCTGTCCTTCTTCCCTTCCTTGCTTTGCTCAGCACTGCCTCCTAATCCTGGTTCTCCCTTGCTTTCATGATTACCTGTCTCATCCTCCGTTGCCATACTTGCCTACTTCTGCATGACCAAAGGATTCCCCAGAACAAACGCAGTGCGAGGCATTTAGGTTCCCTAGGTTCCAATCCTGTTGGTTTATCCTTTTACTTGGCAACTAGGCTTTTCCCCATTCCCATTTTCTGATGGCTTTCTTAACATGGAGCCGCGTCCGGCTCTGCTGCCTCACCGAGCTAAGGGCGTGACTTAGCTTCCCTTATCACCGGCTCGTTTAGAGCGCTCTTATTCCGTTGGTCGGTGCGTAGGGGTTCGGGTTGGGCAACCCGCTAGAAAAAGTTTTCCTGCGCGGTGTTCCCTGTCTGGCGGTTATTGATCATCCGGGTCCGAGCCCCCCCCCCTTTCCTATTTTTGTCGGTGGGCCTTCGAACGTAGCGGACTGTGCTTGATTTGCCCTACTGGCTCGCCTACGGGTGCTAGTCCCGTTCTCGCCTTCGTGGCCCTTCCGGTTCGGTAGGCTCCTCGAATAGTTGAGCCACCCCCGTTAGATAACTCTCCCCTACCTCGATTTCCCTTTGGATTATGCGTTCGCACCCCGTCTAGTCTAGCCGGGGCGCACAAAACATCAGGATGTGGATGACTTCTAGTAATTCGTGGGCCCTGTTTCCCCAGAACGGCCCATGTTCCACAGCGATATCATAAAACATTCCGATAGTCGGAAAGGGAAAGTGACCCGCCCACATTATGGCCGAGTCTGCCAGCTCGCGCGCCCTTGCGAGGCTTCCGAAGACAAGGTCTATCATAAAACGGGGAACCCGGCACCTCAACGGTGTGGTGGGTGCTCTGAATTCCCGCCATCCCCCCATTTCCACCCGGGTAAGTAAGCCCACGTTTCTTCTACCCCTGACTGATTGTCCTATCCGGTTCAATGTCCGGGCGGCCCTTCGAAAGACCGGTGCCAGCTCGTGACCTTGTGCTATCTCTACCCCCAACGAGTGCCAGCCGATCTCAGGCAGATACATGGTCCCGGTAACATCCAGATTGGAAAACAGATCGTCTCCGGGTCCTCGGTTGAGTCTCATCCCTGTCCACCGACATTCTACCAACATGAAGGCGGCGTCCCTTCCCAAAGTCACGGCCCACCATTCTATGTCGAACCCCCGATAGGTAGAACTCGACAGGAGGGATACTTCCCATCGTCCACCGTTGTTCCAGGGCGGTCCGGGGTACCGGGGCTGGCGTTCCATTCGCACACGGGGCTGGCGTTCCACTCGCTCACGTCTTGCTGCGATTGTTACCTTGGTGATTTCCTGCATAGTCCACATAAGAAGGGTTACAGCCAATCTTCAGAATCCGCCCACCTACTGCCTCCCTAGCCCTTCGTGTTTTCATTCCCCTTTTCTAGTCCCAACTATCCCTCTATACCCCCGGGAGCAGTAGCCCCCTCTGGCTGTTCGTACAGCCGGTAGAGATCATCTATGTAGGTCGCGCCCCGACCTACCTCTCGCCGGATGACTCTCCACATGGTCTCATCACTTATTTGTGGGACTCCTGGCCTAGTATTTACCGCTGCTCGTAGAATGCAAAGCACCTCGTGCCCCTGTTCGTCCCCGAAAGGCCCCATGTCTAGGAAGGCCCGATAGTATTCTCAATACATTAATGCTTCGTCAAGATTTAGCCTAGTTACGGCAGTCACCGCCTGCTCCACTCGTTCTATGCCTCCCATTCGTCTTAGCAGGAAGGGTGGTAGACTCATCCATATGACCTCATTTGGCAGCTCAAAACCCCCTGCCGCGGCGACTTTCACCTCAGCCGTCACGTCATCTCGTTCTGGATCTGCAAACTCAAACCCCTCCTGCCAGGTTGTTTGTCATGCCCCTTCGAACATTCGCACGGGGTCATCCCCGGAGGCCAAGGCAATCCCAAAGGTCCGCCACCCTTCTTTCGACAGGTGTAAGGATCCCGTCGCATGCACTCGCCCTGGGAGGTCCAAATTTACGCCCCCGAATTCCCCTCTCGTACGCCACTCCTGTTCTATTACTAGGTACACCGTGTCTTCCACCAACTCTACCCCCACCCAGTCCATTACCGGGTTACTCACCACGTTCCTTGATGGCAGACTTATTTCGACCCTGTCTCCCGATGCCCTTGGCGGTCGGATCCCGCGAGGCCTATCTTCCCAGAACGTCATTCGTCGGGTCATCTCGCAATGTCTCCTTTCCCGCTTCCTTAGTCCGATTGCTGCACCCACCGAGATTCCGCGTTTTTCGTGTTTTAGTCTTTCAGTACCCCCTTCCTATCGTACACTGGTTCCTGCCACCATCCCGTCTCCATGCCTGCCCTTATTTCGGCCTCCTCGCGTCCCCTGCTAACTAATGTACATCCCCCTTTCTTATGCTACACCCTCACATGCACCCTCCATACTTCGTTCTTCCTGTGGCGCTCGAACTTTGAGTCCCTTTAATCAAACCGTCGCACCTCAAACAGTATAAAGACATCGTCCACATAGGATGGCGCGGCCGCCGCCTCCCGGCTAACTATGGCATCCCAAGCTTCCTCGCTTACCTCTAGGCGGTCGTATTTACCTATCCTCAGGATGGTGATGACCTCACCGGCTTTATCCCCGTAGAAGGGCCCATATTTTAAGGAGAACCTATAGAACTCCTCGGTCAGCCAGACACATTCTATGTGTAGTTTCCTCATGGAGTCGGCTACGTCTGCTATGTGCTCAAAACCCCCGAACCAGTCGGCCACGAACTAGGGCACCCAAGCTGTTATGCGCAGGCAGGGAGGCCTGAGTTCTTTCCACCCTCCCATCACAACTTTGCTACTAACTTCGTCCCACCCCTCATTGGCGAACCTCTTGCCTTCTTCTCGGGTTCGCGCCTCTGCATCCCCTAGAAGCCACATTGGATCTTGTCCCATTGCTAACATAGTGCAAAACAGGTGCCACCCGTCCTCGGAGAGAACAATTGTTCCGACTGATTCCACTTTGCCCTCTGCTCAATCGTCCCAACCTTCCTCTTCCCTTATCGAGTTCCAAATCCGTTCTATCCATACATATGATAATTCCCGGGCAACCTCAAACCCAACCCAGTCGCACGTGGTCCCTCTCCATTCGTTTTCCGTTGGTATAGGCATCTCTACCCCCCCTCTGAGTCGTCTTGGTTCCCATCCCTTGAAGGTGTATTCCATCATCATCTCTTCTCTAGTCATCCTTTTTCCCTTCCTGCAGAATACCAGGCCACCCGTTTTTTTTTTTTCCAAGGTCAAGTCCTCCTCCTTAGAAGTCCCAATCCTCTATCTCCTCATCCTCGTCCTCATCACTGAAGTCGTCCTCTTCGTCGTAGAACAACTCTTTCACCCCCTCCAGAAATGTCTTCCCTATTGCCACATTTCTATACACTATCCCCCAATGTACAGGGCTAGAGACATAGATATTATCTAAGCTAAGGCAACTTAGTATCTCGGCCAGTTCGTCCGCCCAGTTCCCCTCAAACGGCCCCATTTCTACTGACAACCGAAAGAAATCTTGCCTAGCGCATTGGTATAGTCCAAGGTTCGTCATGGACTGACATATCCTTACCAGTCGGCTCCGGGTTCCAAACACCGCATCCACTAGGAAGGGAGGCAGCACGCATCGCATGGTTCTGACGGGTCGCCTCATGCTTCCTCTATCCCCAAGTTCCACCCGCACATCTACCCTTTCCATTTCCATCTCCCTTCGCTGACACGTGGCCCACACAACTTCCGCTTTAGCCTTCCTAAACAGCTCGTCCGGCGCATTCCCGAGTGCCAACTCTACGACCATAGCATTCTCCCCATCTTGCGACAAGTAGACCCACCCCCGAGCTTCCACTGTTCCCCGGAACTCCAAATCCATTAAACTTCGCGACAACCTTGTCAAGCTAATATTAGCCCGTACCGTCTCTATCCATAGGAACGCGTCCTCCCCTTCCAACATTACGGTTTGATATGCTGGTTCAAGGTCCGTCCACGCCCCATCTTCCGGGAGGACGACCGACACCCCATCCTTTACGTCTACTGGCATCTCTGGACCGCTGGTATAAGTCGGGGGAGACAACCATCGCGCCATCTTGTTTCCAGCACCCGGCCCCTGTTTTCATGGAAGAGTACCAACCGGTTCTTCTGGTCAAGTCAACCTTTTTTCCTAAATGAGGATTATTTCAGACCCCCCATTAAGGTCTCCCTAATTTACCTCCCCCTTTCCTAAGTACCCCCTTTCCATACTTCCCTCGACCGGCCATCCATTTGCCCACATTCTTTCTCTTGGTTTCATTCCAACGGACCTTTATCCTTCTTCCTTCTGATCATCTCTCACTCGTGTGGACTTAGATGGGGGGGGGGGGATAGACGTAGAAATATGTCCCGTCCAACAGTCCGAACTCAAT